AATCAGTTTTCAAAGTCTTATTTTCTTCTCATACTTTAACATATTATTTATAATATTATTATTTTTATTTGTATTTTCGATCCAAATTTTTGCGGTCTAACACAACTCACTAACCAAAAACATCATCTCAATATATCATATAAAACTTCATGGAAGAAAATGTTTTGTCAAAAACATAAATCAGATTAAAAAAATATTACGTCAAACAACAAAACCACCATTATTTAACTAAGGATTTCTGCTTTCTGGTTCCTCAAAACAAGATGGAGTAAAAGAATTTTACTTTTAGTCATTTGCATAATTTTCTTCAATGGTATCTCGGTTAATGAGCATGAAACTTTTTTTTTGGAAGACAAAAAATTATAGGCTTAAATTAATGACATAAATATAAAATTGCAAGTTAAACCAACATTGACGCTATAAAAGATAACCTTATGTATTTGGCCAAGACGATGAGCTCAATATGAGGATTCCAATCACGATACAAACCAAGATCTCTAATTTTATGATATAGACTTCCAAAACATATTTCTGAGCGCAAAGTGGATTCCAAAATGTTCCACAAAGGTTTTGGATCCTCTCTCCTCAGTACCAGTGGCGAATTTAGAAACAAATTTAATTAGAAGCATAAATTTATAAACAAGAGTAAAAACTTAAATTAGGAGTAATTTTTCTTTTTTATTACTAAATTAAAATATAATTAAATTTACCTAAATATTTTTTTTTTAAAAAAAAAAAATTGTAGGGGCACATGATCTCATTCCTATTTCACTACCTCAGCCCTTGCTTCACACCCACCGCCACCTTCTCCGCTTATTCAGTTTTCAAACAAACATCTTCACACACACTCTTTGTCAGAAAATAATCTCCAGACGCGTTCATGGCAGTTATGTGAAAAATGTGTGCTTCTTCTTCAAATCCAACTCTTCCGATCAATGTATCGAATTCACAAGAAAATAAGTAGCAAGAACGAACATAACATAACGCCCCTGTCAAAGTTGAAAATGTTTTATTTTTCTAACATACAAAATTATTAAACAAAGCTTTTGGGTAGCTCACAAATGTAGTTAACAATAACAAATCATATACTCTAATGAAATTTAAAATTGCATGTTGAAAGAGTTTATGAGTAATTATTTATACCTCTCCTTATCAGAATCATGTTCTTATTATGTGCTCGCATCAAAACAAAGAATCATCACTACGACGCAAGAATAGTTTTTGCTTTCCTCTTTGCTTGGAACCATTTGATCTTATAAAACATAGGATTCAAAGGAAGAATTGAGATGCAAGTAATAATGAAAACCCTTGAGCAATAGCATTCATTGAAGCTCAAGAAAAGCGCAATACAAGACCATCCTAATAAAGTCTTTGACTGTATTTGTAACACAGAAAGATTCCAAAGTCTATAATTTCAAGTGAGGCATCAATTATTTATATTGTTAATATGTGTTTTACTTTCAAGTTTTGTATATATATATATATAATTTAAGATTGAATCAATGCTTCATGGTACACTTCATAAAATTTCTTGAATGTATGACAGTATGAGCTTAAGAGATAGATAAACTGATTTACCTTTGGAGAGAAAACTAATTCTCTGTCACTGAATTCTTTTCAAAGATAAACGCAAACGATTTGTCATGAGGATATACTTCATTTTAACTTCTTAAATCTGCACACAAACAAAGGAAATATATTAAAGTTATTTTAAATCTTCTTCAAGACAAAACAAAGAGTTTGTATGTTTTTCACACCTTCAAGCAACATGATTGGTTCTTCGTTGTTGTACGATTTCAATTTCCAGAGAATAAAACCATTATCATCCAAGTAGACTAGATTGATTCTATGAGCATCATCACATCCTTGACTCTCTGCAAACATAGTTAGATAGTAAACCTAAACATATGATAACTGTTTTAAAGAATCACATGAGTTTTTATTGGTACTTTTAGATAGCATTTCTGTTGCGTTTTGCATTTCAAAATTAACTTCTTCAGCATTCATTTGTCATAAAATTGCAATATGTTTTCACTCGTCAACAAAATCCTATTATTATCTGTTACAGCTTTGCCCAACTCTCCTTGTAATTTCTGCTCTAGTTGTTTTACCAATAACAAAAATGTTTTCAAATGAATCAAGTGTTGTCAAACTTAAATTGTAACGACTAACTAGATTTTAAAATTACCTTATTTTTTGCTACTTGCAATGCTTCTTTTGCTTCTCTTTTCCTTTCAACAGATTCATCAATGCAATTCCGCATCAACATAAATATATTTTATCACAACATGTAAACCCTCAATCACTATAAAACTCAAGAGAACAATTCACTCAGTGCTTGAATATATATCCTTATAACTTACGTATATGAAACACTTGACACATCAGAAGTTATAATGATATATATAAAACATATTGAATGAATTGTTCTCTTGATTTTAATGGTGCTCGAGGGTTTACATGGTGTAATAAAATATTCATGATGATGATGATTTGTATTGATGAATCTGTTGAAAGAAAAAAAGGAAGCTAAAGAAATGTTGAATGCATTAACATATAAGGTAACCGTAAAATCTACTTAGTCTTTAAGATTTAAGTCTGACTCACTTGATTCGTTTTAAAACATATCTGTTGTAGGTTAAAGGACTAGAGCAGATGTTACAAGGTGAACTAGGCAAAACTGTAACAGACAATAATGAAATTTTGTTTATGAGTGAAAAACTATTTGCAATTATATCACAAATAAATGTTAAATAAATTCATTATGGATAGCAAAACGCTATAGAAATGGTATCTAAAAGTACACATTTTAAAATCTTTTGATTCTTTATGACAATTATCATTTTTTAGAAGTTTATTCTAAATGTTCTAAATGTGTTTGCAGTAAATCAAGGATATGATGATGCTATTAGAACCAACCTAGTCGAACTAGATGACAATGGTTTTATTTCTCTAGAAATTGAAGTTGTACAACAACGAAAAACCAAACATATTTCTTAGAAAAAAAATCAAAAGCTTTGTTATGTCCTGAAGAAAAGTTGTAGTTATTTTAATTTTTTTTTTCTTTTTTGTGTGCAAATTTAGAAAGCTGGAGTGAAACACTGAAATATGTCCTCATGAAAAAAAAATTTGCACTTATTTCTGAGCAGAAGCCTTATATAGAGATTTATTTTTCTTTCAAACAATATATTATTTCATCTCTCTCTTAAGCTTATAATCTCAAGGAATTTATTAAGGGTACCTTTTTAGGTTTTAAGATTGTTTGATCAATCTCAAACCACATCTATTGATCTATATGTACAAAACCTGCAAGTACAGCACATGTTAATTGCATAAATAATTGATGTTTTACTTCAGACTTTGAAATCTTTTTGTGTTACAAATACAGTTAAACACTTTCTTAGCATGGTTCTTTATTGTGTTTTTCTTAAACTTTAATTTGTTTATGGGTTTTTTGTATTTTGATTTGCATTTTCAACTCTTCTTCTGGATGAAATGGCTCTGAGCAAAGATGAAAGCAAAAATATTATTGAGTCGTACTGATGATTTTCTTCTTATTTGCGAGCATATAATGAGAACATGATTCTCATAAGCAGTGGTAAAAATGGAGACTCATAAACTCTTTAAGCATGCAATTATAATTTGAATTTGAGTATATGTTTGTTGTCTTAACTACGTTTTTGAACAACCCCAAAGCTCTGTTTTGTAACTTTTTATTCTAAGAAAAGAAAAACCATTTCATCTTTGGCGGTTGAGGCGTGTTGCTTGTTCCTGTTACTTTACGTTGTGGTTGCGGTAGCGGTTGTTGTTAAGGTGGACGCGGTTGAGATGTACAACCATTTTATTGTTAATTCAATATATTGATTAGAAGACTTGGCTTTGAGGTAGAAACGCAATATTTCACATAATTGCGTCAAAAACATTTGCAGATTAGTTTCTGGCAAATACATTGTGTGAATTAGTTTTTTTTTGGAAACCAAGAAAGCGGTAGAGGCGATGGTGGTGGGTGAGAAAAGATTCTAGTATTGAAGTCTTTGTGGAAAATTCTGGAATATTCAATTCACGCTCTAAGAAGCGTTGAGACGATCAAATATTGTTTAACACTACCATAATCAAAAGAAAATTAAGCATTGGAAAGCTTTGGATTTGAATACCGAAGGCCAACACCAACGGAATGAAAAGACTTATCGTCTTTGCAAAAAACAAAAAAACTTTACATGTTTACTTGATTTCAAAGATGAGTGATTTGTATAATGGAACAACTGAGTTATTTATAATTTGTATATACATGATCACTAGTGATCAAAAGACATTAAAAGGAACTACTCACAAACAAAAGAAGATAAATAGCTAAACAAAATTGTGGTCTTTTGCCAAAAATTTAACCTTTTGAATTGATTGGAAAGCTTATGTTGCCTTTTTCAAATTACGAGAATAAGTTTGGATGGAAAATGGATGAATTGCATGACTGTTAGACACTATCAACGCCTTTTGACTGATATGTAAATTTTTATCACCTTTTTACTTTGAAATTTTCTCGTTGGTTTGGCGTGTCTTGACTCTTCTAGAAATCTATCTTGGGTCTATCTAGTGATATTGAGAAACCAAGGCTGGTCGAGTTCAATAAGTCTGGTAGGTAACTTTCCCATAAATTGATCCGAATATGATCATCTGAATATGATGGAGGCTCCGGTCGGTTTGAGTTTTGTCCGGTTGATGGGCCATCATGGGTCTATGATGGACCAGGTGGGGTTTAAAAAACATTTGGTTTTTTTTTTCCGAACTCATATTGAAAAGGAGAAATAAACATTTTTTTTTTTTGTTTTTGACATCAAAATGATTTAAAATGTCTCTAACCTACACATATCTAAGCAAACACACGCCCGAGTTTTCTGAAAACAGTGAGGAAAAGAGGTTTTAGGGCTTTTCACACTCAGAAGCTCCGTCAAGCTGAAAGGGTTTAGATTCGGAAGCAGCTAAGGTGAAGCCTTTCTCTCTCGTCTTCCTCATACGTTCTTCTCAATACCATTAACTCTCCGATGCGTTATTCCCAGGAACCAGAACCAATTTTCTATTCGTTTCTTCCCCATTATAAAATTATTTTGCTTTGGGTCAAATACGCTGGAATTGTCTCTTGTTTCTCATAATCCTCGGCTTATGTAAGCTTTGAAAATTTTCTAATTTGGGGAGCTATAATTTATAGCGAATTGTTTTTCGTCATATCCGTAATGCCCACCAAGTGTTCGATGAATTTCTCGCTGATGCGATTTTAGTAACCTTTCAGGTTATTATATAGTTCTTTGGACTGTTAATATGGCGGCAACTACTGGACTCGAGTCTCTTGTCGATCGTAAGTTTTCTTTTTGCCATTAAACACCATTCTGGATTGATTTATTGATGTTTTGTCGCATGAATTGTATAAAAATCTTTGATTATTTTTTTTGGGTGATGTTGCAGAGATGATTTCGGTAATTACAAACGATGGACGCAACATTGTGGTAGGTTTTTTTGTTTGTTTTCTCTCTTCTTTGTTTTATGGTTTGGAACTATTCTAGTAACTTAGCAAAGAGAACACATTTTTTCAGGGAGTTCTTAAAGGTTTTGACCAGGCTACAAATATAATCCTTGATGAATCTCATGAACGGGTCTTTTCCACAAAGGTAAGCCTCAGATTTCTGTTTTTCTAATGTATTTTAATCTGAACTTTGCGATACCAACAAATCGTATACGTGCGTATACTTTTCTCTTCAAATATTGGCTAGTTTATGACCTGATAATTTTTGTCCTTGAGTGGCTAAGAATGGTATCACTTTCATCAGATTTCTATGATGTATCAGCGCTCTTTACTTCTCCATTGTTGTGTTTAGTGAACGGATAAAACTTGAAAAAACATAGATAAGCAAGCTCAGTATGATGCTAGTTTAACTTTTTTTCTTTGTCAGAGCATCTTTCTTCATCTAATATTAGTCATTTAATTGGTAGTACGTTCTTGTTAGTAATGTACATTGCTTCATTTATTTGCGTAATGTCATGTTTTCAACAGAATATGTAGGAACAAATGTATTCTGACATTTAACATAGGTTGGTTCATACAGTACTTGTTGTTTGATGAGGAAATGGTGGATAAAGATATAATTGGCCTCTGAATGGAAGAATTTAAGAGGTAGTGTGAATAGTAACTACAGATGTGGTGATGGAGCTTACAGTGAAACGGATTTGATACTAGTAGTTCTTCAAAATGAAAAAAATAATTGTTAATGCATTTGTCAAAAGCTTTAGCTAGTTCTAGGTGAGGCAAATCTTTATGGGCAGTGTCTAATTTACAGGATCACCTCCTTTTTCAAAAACATGATTAAAGGTCTGAATCTTGTCTGTTTCTTCTTTGCACCAAGAGCATGTCACTCCATGTTGATACTGCACTAGACCAATGCTCTCGGGAGTGATTAGTATCCATATTTTTTCAACCATAGAGCTTTTTGGCTTTAAAATATAGATGCTTCTGCTAAAATGATGAATACTTGGAGATAGATCTTTCAGTTCCCATGTTGTTTCTATCTAAAACATGTAAGGAAATGGAGAAGGGCATGTAAATCTCAAAAGAGTTGTCTTCCACTTTCTTATTATTTTCTTCCATTATTGTCTGGTTGATTCAACATGAACAAAGTAACTTCTTTACGTTACCATGAAGTGTTTGATTGAGCATTGAGACCTCTTGCTATGTTTTTTCACTCTCTTATTGTGTTGGTGTTTTACTACGTTTCTTGATATTTCAGGAAGGAGTACAACAACTTGTGTTGGGTTTGTACATTATCAGAGGCGACAACATGTAAATCTCATCATCCTCATATTATCATCTCATTGTCTCAACAGTCGATGGTTTCCTAACGAGACAATTTGTTTGTGTCATATTTGATCAGAGGCGTTATCGGGGAGCTCGACGAGGAGCTTGATGCTAGTCTGGATTTTTCGAAACTGAGAGCTCATCCTTTGAAACCCGTCGTGCATTGAAAATAGTTATAACGAGAAAAGAAACCTAAACAAAGAGAGATTGTAAACAATTTGAATAGTTCTGGAGTTGTCTGCTTTATGTATCCTAAGAACAAAGACTATATTATATTTTCTGTCTAACGTTTTGGCCTGATGAATCGTTGTATTTCCAAAACGCAAAACACACCTTCGCGATTCTAATGTTGTTTTTATTTTCAGATATCGTCTCCGTAGTGTTTTCGGTGGCTTCTGATTCAAATTATCAAATCAAAACTTAAATTCCGAACGATGCTTACGTGCAACTTATTGGTTCACTTGAAGTATGGACTTGACTGGTAGGTCGATTCAATAAAATAGGGACGGAAATTTTTGTATAGTTTCGTTCGGTTGCGTGTTTTGATGAACGTTAAATTTAACCGAATTTAGTTCATTTCGTTTATATTCAGTTCGGGTTAGTTCGGTTTAATTCAGTTTGATTTGCAATTACTAGATTTTGCATTTCTATAAGTTGGTAAGTATTTAAAATATAAACACGTGAAATAAGTCATCCATGCTCTTTTCATTTTGGGGGAGGGGGTGAGGCAGTGGTGGAGGGAGCATGTTGGAAGGGGTGCAATTGACCCAGGTGAACTTCAAATTCTTTTTATAACTATTTGTATTTTTTATGTAAAAATTAGATATAATATTAATAATTTAGCTAAATGATTCCTGTAAAATTTGTTTATAATATATTATAAATTAAAATTGATTCCCCTAAAATTTTTTTCTAGCTCCGCCACTGGAGTAAAGGGTGGGGGACTAGGGGCTGTCAACAGAATAGAAGTATAGTCTTCTAGAAAAATTTCGTTTAAATGTTCAGAGCTCAGACAACGATTCATATCAAGTCAAACATGTTTAAGAAAAAGAAAGTGTTGGGGGTTATATCAAATGTGATTATTATATTTGGATGAAATAAAATAAAATGAAACCAAAATGTAGTGGCATGTTAAAGAAGACAAAAGAACCATGACGGAATGCATGAGAACACAAGTATAAAGTCTAAGGAGATTAGGTCAACAAATGTACATTGACTTTGTTATATACCTCCGAATCAAAAAGTTTCCATCTAAATATTAAAAAAGACCTATTGGCGACGGAAAAAATATATTATTTTGAAAAAGTGTTTTTCCTCAAATTTCTAGTAGATAATAACTATATATATGTTTAACTTTATTTGTAGATTAGAAAATATAAAGAGAAAACATATTTATACAGGATACAGCAAAAAAAAAAAGAGAAAATAGTAAATAGAGTAGGGAGTAGAAGTAATGAAAGAGTTAAAGAGTAAAGATAAGAGATGTAAAAGCAAAAAATAAAGAAATAGTATTTAGAAAGAAAAATATTATATGGCTAGATTTTTTTCTATTGTTTGATCATAAGGTATGATTGGTTTCCTTAAAAAAAAATGTTTTCCATCTATTGCAAATTTACACACACCCATATACATATGTATGGGTTCACATCAACTTCAGTTTCCATAAATGACCGCTACCTGATTACACAAACAAATTCAAAATACACGTGTACGTATTGTATGAACAAATACATTATCAAATAAACAAAAACATACCAAATAGGTTATAAAATTAATAAAACTTGAAAATCGTATCTCCATCTTGAAAAGTTCTTCCTTATTGACTTTAAAAGTTATACTTCAACATCACATCTCCTTCTTTATATTGTCCCTTACCCCTAAACAAGATCTCTACAAAACAAAAGCTCTTCTTCGTCAACAAAGCCTCTTCTTCCTCTTCTTTTCGTGTGTAATCAAGATTCTCAAAAATGTCTCATCACCCAAAAATTCACCCGCTCCACGACCCGGAAGCCCCAAGGACGCATCCAACGGCTCCACTTGTTCCACGTGGTTCCTCTAGATCAGAAAACGGAGACCCGACCAAAGTCCCTTTGACCCAACGGCCACAACGGTTTGTGCCGTTGGCTCCTCCGAAGAAGAGAGGAAGAAGCTGTTGCTGCAGGTGCGTGTGCTACACGCTCTGTCTTCTCTTGCTCCTTGTTGTTGTAGTAGGCGCGACGATTGGTATACTCTACCTTGTCTTTAAGCCAAAGCTACCGGATTACTCTATTGACCGGTTACAGCTCACCCGGTTTGTACTTAGCCAAGACTCGAGTTTGTCCACGGCCTTTAACGTGACCATAACCGCTAAGAATCCGAATGAGAAGATCGGAATTTACTATGAAGATGGGAGCAAGATTACCGTGTGGTACATGGAAGCTAAACTCAGCGAAGGTACGTACACATTTGGTCCACTCTGGGTTGGTTTAATTTGGTTACTAAACTTAGAAAGACTTCGAAATCTTAGTATAAACGGTTCATTTTATTTGATTTCGGTGCAATTTCATTTGGTTGGTTCTGGTTCAAATTTAATTGATTCCTACACTTAGGAAGGCTACATAATCTCAGTACAAACCAGTTTATTTGGTTGTTCCTAGGACTAGGGAAAATTTCTCCAACTGAACCGAAATTTTCAAATCTGAACCAAGTTGAGTTATAAAAAAATCCGGATGAAATAGAAATTTATATGCTAAAATTTCCGAACTAAATCTGAAATGTATGAAATGGAATAGAACTAACCAAATTAACCAAATTTTTTTAAAAAAATCAGCTAAAAGTTTTAATTTAAAACTCTTTAATAAATATATAAAAACTACATAAAAATATATTGAGATCTACAGTATTATTTAAAATGAATTACTTTTTTTTTTTGTTATAATCTTTTATGTCAAAAACCAAACCAAACATAAGTATTACTAAGCAAATAGAACCGAATTGATACAAATTTGATTCTCAATATATAGGATCTATTTCTTTTTCTTTTTTGTCAAAATAGGATTTCTAAAATCTAATTAATCCGAACCAAACCAAAACAAATAACCAAATGCCCACACTTAGTTTCAAAATTGATTTGTTTTGTCAAATTAAAATTGGTTAATACTATACCTAACTGTGGATCTTTATAAGATTTTGTTTTGATTTTTGGAAAGACATAATTTAAAGAAAATATCACAATTATGTATATGTTTTCTATCAAAAGATAAAAGTTATTCAAATTGTATATAAGTCCAAACAATATAATATTATATTGCAAATCACATGGACTACTATGTCTCTGAGCCCGATGATGAATAATCTGATTCTGCTGAATCAAAATCTTCCCCAAATTCTTCAATTTCTTCCACTGACTCCTCAAATACCACCGAATTGATACAAATTTGATTCTCAATATATAGGATTTATTTCTTTTTCTTTTTTGTCAAAATAGGATTTCTAAAATCCAATTAATCCAAACCAAACCAAAACAAATAACCAAATGCCCACACTTAGTTTCAAAATTGATTTGTTTTGTCAAATTAAAATTGGTTAATACTATACCCAACTGTGGATCTTTATAAAAGTTTAGGCTCTGATTGGTGTCCCTTTCAAAAACTGGTAAGGATATATTGTTTTTTTTCACCGTTATTAACTGTACCACTCTCTTTTATATATAGATCCAAAACTCCTTTCTACAGCATTATATTTGTATAACTAATCAAAGCCTTAATTTCACTAAATTTTGTGGCTTTGCAATAGGTTCGTTGCCGAAATTCTACCAAGGCCATGAAAATACGACAGTGATATACGTAGAAATGACCGGCCAAACTCAGGATGCATCAGGTTTAATGACGACACTACAAGAGCAGCAACAAAGAACCGGAAATATACCTTTGAGAATTAGAGTTAACCAACCGGTTCGTGTCAAATTCGGGAAGTTGAAGCTCATGGAGCTTAGATTCTTGGTCAGATGTGGTGTCCTTGTGGATAGTTTGGCTACAAATAATGTTATTAAGATTCAAAGTAGTAGCTGCAACTTTAGGCTTAAGCTATAATTCCAATTTTTAAATTTTTTATTTGGTACGTACTGTATTTTTAAATTTTTGCAATTTCATATTTTCATCAGAGAGGGGTTTTATTCTCATGTGTATGGTCTCATATTTCTCTCGTTAAACCTACACTATTGTGTCAGATCTTTGTTGTATGATATATTACTGAATTTTGTTACAAATGGTTGCTCCGTATATGTTGCTTAGTTTACTTTGATTCCATAAAAGAAAGCTAAGCTTAAACCCATTATGGAGTTGGACTTGGACTCGTGTATTGTGAAATAATCTAATGGATTCGTCATTCGTACATTTATAGTATACGACTTGGTGTTTGAAGATTGCATGAATCCGTGTATCACTACAAGAAAAAAGAGGCATTTCCGACCACATTTGGTATGGCCATATGCTGTCGGAGATTTCAGACGAGTTTTGGACGAACATAAAGTCTGCCAGAAATTTGTCAGAAATTTCTGATGGAATACAATTTCTCGGTAATCTATCAGCAATTTCCGATGACTTTTCGAGAAGATATTATGTCGGCTAAATTCTGATGGAAATTTGACGATTTTAAAACAGATATTCATACGCGTTTAGGAATTATCATGTTCCATGGGATTTCTGTCGGAAAATTCCGACAATTTATTTCGTCGGACAGATTCTGATGGAAATCCGACGAATTTCCGACAACTTATAATGTTACATTTGCAAGATCCCTTTTATACATTTTTATCTGGTCATTTTCCCCAATATATTCCAATAAATTGGATGACTCAGTGGAAAAGGCAAAAAACAAAGGCTTTCGGCACATGAGCGAAATCATTTGCAAATATATATTCTCACAAACCGGAAATATACGATCCAATAGTTGGAAGTGGTGTACGACACGACCAATTTGATGTTACATCAATACATAGCAGAAGACGACTCCATAAATACGATCCATTTATACAGTACTTGCTTCCAAAGCAGATCAGGTTTGTTTTATTTTATACTTTTATTTGTTAGAAATTAACATTTATGTAAAATTCTATATATTAATTAACTCTGAATGACATGGTGTAGGTATGCTATATTTCCTATCCCTGAGTAAAAATAAGCAAGATACGTGGATTAATGTGATATCGATAAACCCCAGAGGTAGGGTTCATGAGATTTTTGATCATGAACCCCTCCAACAAAGGTCTCTAGGTTTAGGTTCGTTCGAGTATTCCCTTGAATTCGACCTTGTTGTAGATTTCACTGTAGATGCAAACGATCGGGTATTTGAGGAGT